CTTTTGTGTTTCCTTTGACTGCTTTTGTGAGTAGTTGATTTTATTTTTTGCCTTTAGTTAGTATTTGATTGGTCTGCTTTCTTTGGTATGGTTTTTTCTGTGGTGACATCTATTTAGCCTTAGGAGTGTTTCCATCTCAAGCAGTCCCTTTAAAATATCCTGTAGAGGTGGTTTGTGGGAGGCAAATTCCCTCAACTTTTGTTTGTCTGGGAATTGTTTAATACCTCCTTCATATTTAAATGATAATCATGCTGGATATAGTATTCTTGCTTCAAGGCCCTTCTGTTTCATTGCATTAAATATATCATGCCATTCTCTTCTGGCCTGTAAGATTTCTGTTGAGACGTCTGATGATAACCTGTCCTTTGTAGGTGACCTTTTTTCTCTCTCTGGCTGCCTTTAATACTCTGTCCTTGTCTTTGATCTTTGCCATTTTAATTATTATATGTCTTGTTGTTGTCCTCCCTGGGTCCCTTGTGTTGGGAGTTCTGTGGGCTTCCATGGTCTGAGAGACTATTTCCTCCCCCAGTTTGGGGAAGTTTTCAGCAATTATTTCTTCAAAGACACTTTCTATCCATTTTTCTTTCTCTTCTTCTTCTGGAACTCCTATAATGCAAATATTGTTCTGTTTGGATTGGTCACACAGTTCTCTTAGTATTCTTTCATTCCTGGAGATCTTTTTATCTCTCTCTGCATCAGCTTCTCTGTGTTCTTGTTCTCTGACTTCTATTCCATTAATGGCCTCTTACACCTCATCCAGTCAGCTATTAAGTCCTTGCAGAGATTGTTTTATTTCTGTATTATCCCTCCCTACTTGCTCTTTTAACTCTTGTATATTGCTCTGCAGGTCCATCAGCATGGCTATGACCTTTATTTTGAATTCTTTTTCAGGTTAATTGGTTAAATCTATCTCCCCAGGCCCTCTCTAGGGGTTGTCTGGGTATTCAGGACTGGACCAAATTCTTCTTCCTTTTCGTGGCAAAAGAGGTAGCTGTAGGCAGGTAGCACATGAGTCAGTTGGGAGAACAAAGTCCTTTCCTGTGTGCTGGTCACCTTGCCCTTCTCCACTGCCTGTGTCAGTTACCCGCACTCCTGGAGTAGCCTCCAGATTAATCCCCTAAGCTGCTGTGTGTGTGGTCACCGTCAGGGTAGCTGAGAGCCCTACGGGGAGTGACAGGTGTGCCAGGTGTGCTCTCCCGCGAGAGCAGCACCCCTTTGTGCCTTGCCGCATTTTCTTCTGCCCGCGCCAGGGAGCTGCACGTCGGCAGCACCCTTTAGGTCTGGCCCAGGCAACTGCTCACCGGGAGGAGATTCTGGGTAGCTTCTGGGGGTGCGGCCATTCCTGGGCTGCTTCGCTGCTGCCAAGGGGCACACATGGTCGCTCCCTTCCACGGGCATGCACGGCCGCTTTCTGGCTTCTGGGCCACTGTGTCGGGGGCTGCACTGGCCGGGGGAACAACTGGCAGGCTGCTTTTTGCTGAGGGGCTTCAGGGCTGCATTGCCACCCAGGGGGTTGGGGCACCTGACATTCCTCAGGATTCCGAGCCTACTGGACTTAGTGTGCCCAGACGCTTCTGTCCAGCTGTTAGGCCCCTGTCCCTTTAAGACTTTCAAAAAGCACTTGCTTTTCTTTTGTCCCACAGAAGCCAGTTGCGGGGACCCACTTGCAGATTTTGCTTTTCCATTTCTTTAATATCCAGCACACCATGCAGTGTGTGTCTGCACTCCCAGTGTGGATTAGTAGAGCTGGTTGTTTAGCAGTCCCAGGCTTTCACTCCCCCCCTGCTCTGACTCTTCCTCCTGCCACTGGGCTGGGGTGGGGGGAGTGCTCAGGTCCTGCCAGGTTGCAGCTTGTATCTTACCCCCTTCATGAGATGCTGAGTTCTTGCAGATGTAGATGTAGCCTGGCTGTTGTACTGTATCCACTGGTCTCTCTTTTAGGAATAGTTGTATTTGTTGTATTTTAAAAATATATATATGGTTTTGGGAGGAGATTTCCACTGCCCTACTCATGATGTCAACTTGGCTCCTCAAAAGCTTTTAGGTTTTTGCTGTTGAGTATGTTAGCTGTAGGCTTGTCATACATAGTCTTCATTATGTTGAGGTGTGTGCCTTCTATACCCAGATAGTTGAGAGTTTTGGATAAATTTTATCGAATTCTTCAGCATCTACTGAGATGACATTAAGATGAGCATTTAGGCCATTTACATTTAAAATAATTATTGGATATGTATGTACTTATTGCCACTTTGTTAAAAAATTTTTTTGGTTATTCTTTAATCCTTTCTTCTTTGTGTCTTCCCTCATGTGTGATGACTTTCTTTAGTGTCATGGCTGGATTCCCTTCTCTTTTTTTGTGTGTATCCATTATAGATTTTACTTTGTGGTTACTATGGGGTTTATATGTGACAGCTTACATATGTAGCAATCTGTTGATGGTCACTTAATTTTGAGTGCATTCTAATAGCGCTACATTTTTAAACTAATTCCCTGTTCTTCTTGTTTATGATGTCTTCTTTTACACCTTTTAATTTAGTGATTCCCTTAACTATTTTTTAAAGTAATTGATTTTAGTACTCTTGTCTTTAACCATCATAGTAGCTCTTAAGTGACTGTACTACCTTTACTATATGTTTGCTTTTATCAGTGAAATTTTTTCTTTTCATAATTTTCTTACTTCCAGTTATGGCCTTTTCCTTCCCTCTTAAAGAACTCCCCTTAACATTTTTTATGTCTGGTTTAGTGGTGGTGAACTCCCTTTAACTCATGTTTATCTGGAAATCTTTTTCTCTCCTTCAGTATTCACTGATAGTCTTGCTGGGTAGTGCATTCTTGGTTGTAGGTTTTTTTTTTTTCCTTTCAGCATATCCTTTTTAATGTATCATGTTACTCCCTCTGACTTGTCAAGTTTCTGCTGAAAAATCAGCTGATAGCCTTATGGGGTTTGCCTTGTAGTTAACTTGTTGCCTTTTTTGAGTTTCTTTGTCTTTGATCTTTGATCATATTATGTGTCTTGGTGTAGATCTCCTTCAGTTCTTGTTTGGGATTCTCTGTGATTTCTAGACCTGGATGTCTGTTCCCTCCCGCAGGTTAGGGACATTTTCAGCTATTATTTCTTCAAGTAATTTTCTATTCCTCTCTCTTCTCCTTCTGGTACTCCTATAATTCAAATATTAGGATGTTTGATGTTGTTTGAGAGTCCCTTCACCTATCCCTTTCTATTTTTTTCTTTCTACTGTTCACCTTGAGTGCTTCGCATTACTCTGTTTTCCAAATCACCAATCTGTTCTTCTGCCTCCTCTAATCTAGTGATGATTCTCTCTAGTGTATTTTTCATTTCACTTATTGCATTCTTCATGATTGTTTCTCTTTTATATTTTGTATCTCTTAGTTGAAGTCTTGAGTTCATCCATTCTTCTCCCAAGTCCAACAACCAAGGAAAAAAACTCTACAATACAATCTTCTCCAAGATTGCCACAAGTTCAATAACCATTATCTGAACTCTTTATTTGGCAGATTAACTGTTTCATTTAGTTCTTTTTCTGAAGTTTCATCTTATTGTTTCAAGCATATTTCTCTCATTTTGTTTAACTTTCTGTGTATATTTCTATAGATTTGGTGAAAGGGCTCTCTCTCCTAGTCTTGAAGGTGTGTTCTAATGTAGGAACATCCCTAAGGTAGACTCCATGTACCTGTGGTTTTGGCTGGCTGGCTGGAGGCCAGGTGGGTGTGGGCTGGGGTGTCCCAGTGCTTGGGCTTCTAGGGTAAAGTCCAGAAGTCTCCTTAATGGGTGCCAACTGGGGCTATTTGGCAGAGCAGCCAGTGTCAGTGAGGCATGGTCTGGGGGGACTCCAGGGTGACAGTGGGTTAGGCACATGCTTGCAGGGTGACCAAGGGTGGAGGGGAATGACCTGGAGGTGTTACAGGTGCATACCAGTCAGGGATGCTCTAACGGGACAGGCAAGAGCAGAGAAAGGTATGGTCTGTGGGTCTGCCAGCTGGTGCCACACTTGTGGCCAGGGGTAGAGGGGTGCAGTCCAGAGTTCTCCGGGGTGGGGGCCATTATGGGGCAATTGGACCTTTGTGGGGAGGGTGTTTAGTCACAGGTGGGCCCAGGAAACCAACTTGGTTAAATCTGTAACTGCTGTGTGTGCCCTGACTGTGCTTGTCTGTATTACCAATGTGCAAAGGGAACATAAACAATGGTCCTCACCAACACCTCTGGTTCCACAGAGAGTTCTAATAGTTTGCTATCATTTAGAGGGTGCTTTAGTTCTGAAAATCCTTCACTTATAGTGTGGTTGCCTTTTAAACCATGGCTTTTTCTTGTGCCCCAAGGCAGGCAAACAAGTGTTCTGATCCCTGAGTGACATCCTTTCCTAAACTGCAGGTCTGCATTGAGGGTGGGGCTCCCTGTTACTGTTACTGTCTCTCCTGCTATTTTTTATGTGTTCTTTTTATCCCTCATTGTGCAAGTGTTCACTCAGGCCTCAGTCTTTCCTTAAGATGAGCTGCTCTGTGTGTAGGTGTGAGGAGGTGGACTCAGGCTCTTTCTACTCCACCATTTTGAACCCATGTCTTTCTTATGCCCATCTTAAAAAACAAAGGGATGTTTAGCAATAATGAATTTCATGGTTTTATGTTCCCTTATTTTCATTTTATGGGAAGATTTGGATTCAATTTTGAAATGCCATCCAGTCTCTGTGGTTCTTTGGCAACTCCATGTGTTTTGCTGAACAGTAGCTATTAGAACAAAATGGTTTAACAATTTGGCCCTAGGATATATTTTAAGAACACTCATGCCTGGCAAGGGCAGGTAACAGCTACCTTTTAACAATGCACCAGACAAAACTGAGTACTGGGTCACTGCCAGTTTCAATTCCTAGATCTGAAATTTTTCATGATATAAATAAACGAATATGAATGCCACTTTGATTTTCAAATTAGCAGTTTATATAATGAGCCCTATTTCTTTCCAAAAGTTACCCAGTCTGTACAAAAAGATTGCCACAGAAGGAATCACATCAAATGTGCCCCCTTTCGCCTTGTGCTTGACCATGAAAGAGAGTTTAATAAGAATGAAATACAGCAGAGATATGTGTTGTAGCCTTAACAATTCAGTTTCTAGCTAGTAAACTCAGATCTACACTGCATTATATTTTAAAATAAGAACACAGGAAATAATTTGTGGCTAAACTAACATTTCAAAGTCATTTATAACTCTTGTTTTTGAATGAATAGTATGACAACAAAGCTTTGGAACACCTTTGTATAAATAACTGCATTTTTTTAGATTTGCTAGAAAATTTTGATATGAGTTATTGAAATGTCCACTCCCTCATAATCATAGGTGTTTTGACATATTATTTAAATAGTCATGTTAATAATGTATGTACATGTATATACAATAGTCCCCTTCATCTAAAGTTTTACTTTCTGTGGTTTCAGTTATTTGTGGTAAACCGCAGTCAAAAAGCAGACAATCCTTGCTCTGAAATATGATCAGAAGGTCCATAGCAGCCTAACTATATGTCACTCACCTCACTTTGTTATATCACATCAGCATGTTATCATCTTACACCATCACAAGAAGGGTGAGTACAGCATAATAATGTCTTGAGACAGACCACATTCATGTTACTTTTATTATAGTAAATTGTTATAATTGTTCTTTTTATTATTGTTGTTAATCTCTTACTGTGCCTAACTCACAAATTAAACTTTATTATAGATACGTATGTATAGGAAAAACATATATAGGGTTCAGTACCATCTGTGGTTTCAGGCATCCACTGGGGGTCTTCGAATGCATCCCGATGGATAAAGGAGGGTTCCTGTATAATTAGATTGCTTCCCTTATTTTTAAATTACTTGTTAGTGGCAACTCTTTGCTTTTGGACAATTCAGCAATCACTTAGTTATTGGTGTGTTCTTGCCAAATTCTCTACACTGATGTGAGAGAAAGGGGAGGAGGTTCTATTTGGGGTTTGTCACTAGCCTAGATGGAACATCCTCATCAAGGGCACTGAGCTGTGTCAGATGGTTTCGAGTTGGCCTTCTATCCACTAATTCGAATGAAAAAACTGCAAAGAAACGTGGAATTTTTCCTTGGTGTTTGCCCTCAACTTAAAAGTCATTGCTCTAGTTTTCATCTACAGTTGGTTACAGGACTGTTGGGAATTGTAAAGTGGAATTATAGCCCCTGTCCACTGTTGAAGGGAGGGGCTTGTATCATGGAAACACCTGTAACAGAAAATTATCTGCTTTTCGGTTGGCTCCTTCCTCTGTCAACTCATTGTTTTGTGTTTTCCTCTGTTCAGGCCTGCTTAGAGCAGGCGCGTGTCAGTAAGGGAAGGGAGGGAGGGGAAGGGCAGGCCCCTGACCTGCAGGAGGCCAGCCATTGGTTCCTGGGCCTCCTGGTAGAAGACTGTCCTTCAGCTCCTGCAGGCAGATGCTCTGGGGGCTAATGGCTCAGTTTCAGTAGTTGCCTGTCTTTCTCTGCCCCTGGGGGTCTGTGTCATTTTCACTTCTCTTCACTCGCCAGGTTGCTTCTCCCCTGTGGCAGCTCTCCGACCCTGTTTCCAGAGTGCACACCTCCTACCTAGTATGTCCAAACTATCTGGCTGAATTTCAGTTTTGTTTCTGAAAAGCCAAAGTCCTTGTAAAATCATGTTAAGAACACGTAGAATTCTTCCATTTAAATTCTTCATTTGCTGTTAGAGTTCTTGCCTGCTTAAATATCCCTCACCTTTCTTGATTTTTAAGATCTGTTTTCAGGAAAATGGAAGTTGCAACTACTGGGCAAAATGCACATTTCAGCATTACGTACAAGAGCAATTTATTCCCACATTGGCTATGGATAACACTCTGTTCCCCAATGTCTATAAACAGGGCCTGGTTCATAGTTATAATTAATTAACTTTATTAACTTGGAGCTGAAAGGAGGTGGCAACTTAAACAAGGAAATAAAAAGCAGTGGACCTCGCCAGACTGGTGCCACATAACTGCTTTTTAACTGAAGGTAAAAGAGCAGTCACTTACTTATTGCCAGTGATAAAGCAAAATAGATGCTTAGGTAGACTGCACAACACAGTCTATTTCCAGCTTACCACAGAATATGGTAACTATGAAAACGATTTTTTTTCATTTAGTGCAAATCACAAGTTTATTTTCTTTGATAAAAATTAAGAGTCCATTTGATGCCACAAATGAGGTAAAACTGCAATATTTGCAAAGGAAAACTTTCTCTGAACACTTCAGATCTTCGTTAAAGTTTTTGATTGTCAGATCAAAGAAACTGCAGTTTCAAGTTTGTTCATAAAATTAATTTAAAGAAAAATCTGTTACATGGTAAGTTTCAAAATGGCAATTCTAGCCCAAGTCACAGTCACCAGAGGAATAAGTGCTCTCAGGTAAGAAATGCAGCAGAACTGTAACAGAGCATACATCTACTTTATACAGAAGCACGTGCATTTTGCAAGGAGAGTGCACACATTCTTATTACATAATTTTTGGAACAGGGTTCAATTGCCTTATAGTTTCCTAAAGGGTCTAAATTAACATGAATTCAAAAATGATGATAATGAGCTTACTAATCATTTCCTCACAGCTCAGTTAGATTCAGTTTTATGCTTTCAAGGCTATGTTGATAGCATGTAGATCCCATTTAAGGAGAAACCTGGGCCCTATCTAATAACATACATGGATATACATGGCTATGTAGCAAGACATGAGGTTGATGATTTGATGTTCACTAATGTTGAAATAGTAAAGTAAAAATTATATATTGTAACTTAGAAAGATGGTATTTTCTTAAGAATACATGGCTACCTACCTGTTCTCTAAAGCAATGTGTATAATCCAACCACCAAATATAGAACACACTAATACCAGATAACAAAAAAAGCATTAAAGCCCATTACAGTCTTGAATTAAGCCAAAACCTTAAGTGCATAGAAAAAGCATTGCAGTCATGTATTTAGCTTTATTTTTGTAATACATATCTTAACTTAAAACTACATAAAAAGTTTCTTATGTAAAAAGCAATTATTTTTCAAGTGGTAGAGCTTAAAGCATGGCTTTATATTTGGCGTAATCATTTTTTACCAGTTTAATTTATAAAGATCGTAATCTTGCCAGCAGGGCTTCAACTTCAGGAATGGATTCAGTTTTAGAAACAGAGCGGAGAAGTTCCATTTCCTTTTTTCTGTTGCTCTCTCCTTTACAGACTTCCTTCTTCTCAACTGCCTTTATCCTCTCTGTAGTTGTACGAGTGTCTAGATTATAATTAAGTTCCTTGGTGACTGAAGTCCTTGTTGAGTTGCAATTGATATTGTGGTGCAAACGTGACCCTTCTGTCAGCTGCACTTTCTGATTCTCTGTAGTATGAAAGAAAGAAACATAAAACATCACTGTGATAAGGACTGTGCATATTATGAACCATAAATTTAATTATTCTCAATAAACCAGTCCTCTTAGACTATTCAACAGAGAAAGGTAGACTTAAACACACAGAGGTTAGGAATATGCCAAGACATAAACAGACAATCATTTCATTAGCACTGATGCTTATTTCTTCCTCCTTTATGCCTGAAATGCTCATCACTCAATTATTATCAAGATTTGGTATCCTTTATTTCATTCCAGTGTTTGCTCAAATGCTAAGTAGATAGAGAGGCCTTCTCTACCATTCATCTAAACTAGCATGCATTCTTTCATCACTGTAGCTCCATACCCTTCATAGAATTCAGAACCCTGGATACATCATATGCTTGTTTACTTCTTCGTTGTCTGTCTTTTTATTGGAATGTTAGCTCCAAGACATTGGGGACCTTGTTTTAAATATGGCTGTACTATCAGTGCCTGAATGACTGTGGAGCAAAGTTAGGTGCTCAATAAATATGCATTGGATAAAGAAGTTATTTCCATACTCTTTGATCCAAGATAACGATTAGTTTGAACAATGAGGTTAATTTCCTTTTAGAACAAAACCAAGGAAGAAAGTTTCTAATAGGAATTTAAACAATGATTTCCCTTAAATGAAATACTGAATTTGGCAAGAAAATTGTTAAAACTTTCTAGCAAATCATGTCATGATTTGTTAAACATGTACACATGCCACATGTATAATATACAGGTAATGTATACATATATACATATATGTTCTTTTATTGGTAAGTGACAGTGATCCTAACCTATCAAGGCTGTGAGGAGAGTTACAATAGCTAATGACCAAATGGCTGTGGCTGATTGACTTTCCCAAAGACCATTAGATTTTCTTTTAATTAACTGTGACTTTCACATTGCACAACTTTATGAGTGATGTCTCTCAGATATCTCAAACTTTTGAAAAATAGACACCCTCAATATTCATGTAACCTTGAACAGGGCTTGAAAATGGCTTCAACAAACTTGACATGACATTTAAAGTTTTTTGGTTATTCACTGAGAGATGTTCCATTATCCCAATAGTAATGACTTTGGAGCACAAGCAGTCACTCATGACAGTGTGTTTTATGTGAGTGCTGAAAATTCCAACCGAAAACAGCCTGTACATTAAAAGGTGGCTGCTGAATATATTTACTGCACTGCCATTTTCTGACCAGGGGCTTCCAGTGATGGATGAGTATTTTACACACTTTTGTGGACAATCTCAACACATTTTTAGAAGTATGATCACCTTTCAGCTGTTGAAAGAAAATACATACACTTTTCTTATCACCTTTTCTATCAGGTGGGCAACTGTTGCTCAAGAATAAAACTCTAACAGAGCAGTAATTTTCTCTTTGAGCTGTTTGTACCGTGTAGTTTACAATGTACATATTATGATTACCATGCAGAGCACCATGCATATGGTATTCCTACAGTTCCCATGACCACACAATTAAGTTTCAATATCCACCCTTCTGCCCCAAAGAGTGTTTGAAAACTGCATTTGTACCTAAGTGCAGATTTTTAGTCTGCCTACTGCTCCCTTCCCCAGATGTTCCTGTCTTTTCCTGTCAATGACTCCATTGTGCTGATGTCCCCAGAAAACCAGTGGCTATGCTGCTCCTGGGCAATCGAGTTACATTTTTGATGGTGGAGATGAGATTAAATTGGCTGAACTAATGAGTCTATAATATACATAAAGTATTCTGTACCTTCTCTGGCTATCAAACCTAATTCCACACGTGGCAAAGTGAAAAAGAACATGAGATTTTAAAGTAAATTCTTGTTGAAACTCAAGCTTCCCCACTTGGCTTTGTCAGGTTACTTGACTTCTCTGAATCTCACGTTTTAATAAACAACCACATAGAGTAGTTGTGAGACTAAGGGAAACAGGGTAGGCAACTGCTCTTTCAGACACTCGCTTTCCCTCCCCCTTACAAAGCTTTCTAAGGGAGGCATCTGCCATGGGGGCTTGTCCAGATGCTCTTACCTTTCTGACTTTCTGGGGACCACACTAAAATACCATTTTATTAATAGCTTGCATTTATATAGCACCTTTATTTATAAAGCATTTGTTGCACTTTAAACATCACTACCCTTGTTTTATAGATTGAGAAGTAAAAGCAAAAGAGGTTAAGTCATCTGCTTAGACTAGTTACTGAGTAAATCAGTGGCAGAAGCCAAATGCTGTCTGTAGAGACACCAAGGCTGACTTAAATTTGAAAAGCATCTTGCCAAGGAAAAGTGCTAAGTTTCATAATAACCATATCCTTATACTTCAAAATGCCATCTGACACATTTAATTTTCCCACCTTGGTAAGGCAGACAGTGTACCTACCTAAACTACCTGAGCACATTACGGTCAAGGTCACAATGTACTCCTTTTCTTTCCAGGTCTCACTTGAATTCATGACTGTGAACTTCCACTATGACCTTAATCCCACTGCACTTCCCTAGTCCATTCACTCTTGTCTTTTCCTAGACAACTGTTTTATCCCTTCTCTCCTGTTAAAGGTCCAGCATGTTCTCCTTCACTCTCACTTACCTCATTTGTACATGCAATCAGAGCCAGCTCCCATTAGCCTCTCTCTACTGTATTGTTAAGGTTCCCTTCTTCATGTGATCACTCCCCTCTGCATAGAAGTTATGCTGTAATAACCCCAATCTTTAGAGAAAAAAGAAATCTATTTGACTCCCCACCCTGCTCCATTTACCACCTCAACTGTTGACTTCCTTTATAGCAAACCATGTCAAAAGAATCGTCCATTCTTGCTGTCTCAATTCCTCTCTTCGCATTTTTCTCTTGAACCCACTCCGATCATGCTTTTGACCCTTTATTCTTCTGAAACAACTCCTGCCAAGGTCCCTAATAAACTGAGTGTTGCTGACAACACAGATTGTATGTCCAGTTGGATATTTTAGTTCTTTACTCAACCTATACCAGATCCAAAGATGAAATGCCCAGCAGAGCCTGGGTTTTTCTTTCACTATTTGCTCTTTGAACGTCTTTGGAGGTTTAGGTGGATGACAATGGGCGGGCCGATGCAGGCAAGAATATTTCTATCCTTTTTGAGAAAACTCCAAATAGCTGTGGGCATAGTTTAGGGACAAAATGACCAAAGTAAAACCAAATTGGCATTTAACTCTTCTGTGGTTCCAGGTGGAGAATTTTTTCATGAGAAGGAACAGACATGATATAAAAAGGAAAGAGGCCATTCCTGAGACCACTGAAGGAATTAAAAAAAAAAAAGTGCATAAAGACTTAGAGAAAGAGCTTATAGCTCTGCTAGAAATTCCTAGATAATAGTTCAGACCTCACCTCTATCTCTTCCGCATACCAACAGCCCCTATCTGGGTCCTCAGCTGCTTTCTTTTTGCTTTGTCTGCAAGCCATGGGAGACCTGAACTGTGGAACTGAGGGAGTCACATCTTAAATTGTAAAGCTGATAAATGAAGTTGGGTTGGAGGTGTTTCCTGTCCCACTTACATTAGAGAAAATGTCTACACGTAGAGGGAGCTCCTAAACAGGAAGTTCACTTTTATATAGAAATTTTATCATAATGTTGGTTCAAGGACTGGTGTCTTTTGCCATTACTATTACCTTAAAAGTCTGCTATTGGTGGCTACATGTGGGCTGAACTGTAGACCCAAATTCCACACAAAAACATGCATTTAGTTTCTAAATGGTTCACCTGAAACATCAGGGGAGGCCACAACTCTGTAAGTTGGAAAGAATTCTGTACATGTTCTCAGAGGCATGAAATAAATTGTAATTTGAAGCTGGTAAACTCATATCCTTTTCATATGAAATTAGTTCCAAATCACAAGATGACATACTTGGACACGTGGACTCTTTCAGTGAAAGATAAGGCTGGAGTATCAAGAAAAATAAGTAATTTCTATTGCTGTCAACTCAAATCCTTACTAATACACATTTTTAAATGGAAACTAATATTAAGGCAAAGTGAATGATTGCCTCTCCAAACAGAGACAATAAGCTTGTGCTATTATTTTATGAATTGAATCTAAAACTTTTTTTCCCCCTTTAAGGAAATAGTCCACATATCTTGTGTTTACGTTTCTATGGAAACAGAGCATACTGTTTCCCTTTAAGATAGGAAAACTCACTTATTTCAATTTAATTCCTTATATGATTCTTACTATAAGAATAGATTTTGGAGTCCCACCACAGCTTTTTTTTCTGAACCTTAAATGAAAAGCTGGAAATTATTGAAAATCGAATGGCTCCTAAATGAACCCACTGAACTTAAAAATAAGAATAAAAGCCTTAACCTACATCTAGGGTTAGATCCCACATGACCTTTGGCAGACTATAGATTTGGATGACAAAGAAAGCTAAAAGAAGAAAACCTCTAAATAAACCCCTACCATCCAGAGCTAACATTTCCATTGTTTCCTGGGTAACACAAAAGACACAGGAAACTAAGAAAGTTGCTGAGAAAAGGTAAATATAAATCTATGCAACTTAGTATCCAAAGGAAGACATATTTCAGCAACAGTGGTTATGCTTCTTGAGCTAAGAAGGCAGGGGTGCGAAAGCCCTGGCTGACAGCCCTCAGGGAAAACCCTCTCTGCTGCAGGAAATATCAGTTATGGTTTAGGAAGAGGCATTATTCGTTTTAAGTCAGTATTGATCCCCCAATCACACTGTGGTTGTAACGGGCACTGGCTTCTTAGAAGTGCCAACTCTCAGATGAAATATAAAATTGAGCTCCTGCCTTTTGTGGTCAATGGTGAACCTGTGGCAGTTTTGACAGGAGGAAGAGTACAGAACTCTGGTGTCCTAAATTGACTGCACCTATTCAGTCAATTTCTTCTTGAAATTTGGTCTTTCCTTACAATTCTTTACCCTTTGCTCTTAACTATAACTGTGACCTACTAAGTAGCTGTTTGTTTCACCCCAGCAATGGCTTTACTTCAGAGAGAG